TTGCCATGAAGCTCCAAACGCCCAACATGGGATTGAAAGCTCTCAACTTCAAAGAGTTCTATTCACCTGATCTGCTGACAGGAGCATCACTTGGCTGAAGAAACAAAAACGCCACTTGCCGAACTTTCGGATTCTTAGCTGGCCTTGTGGTTAGGGCACATGCGATGTCCGTATGAAGCCACCACATCCTTGTGGATATTGTCTAGAAGGCCCTGTGACACAGGTCCCACCATGATTGCCAGTATAATTGTTGCACACTAGCAGCAACGGCTCTGCAGAGAAAAGGCAAATTATTTATTGACCAGAAATGTTTCTCCTTTTATAGGTAATATTGTGACACATAGTACCATGCGCTGCTCTCAACATCCCTATACTGCTTGGCAATAAAACGTCATACAAAAGCTTGCACCACGACGCTAACATCGATTTCACTTTGCCTTTAATTAATTGCTATTCCTCTTTTGCTTATTCTTGCTAAATTGGATTCAGTTATGCTTCATTAGGCGAATGGGTTAGCTCATTCGGTGGATTTTTATTAGGTTTCTTTCATAGACACATTGACACAAATGTATGGGAGACTCGGGTACAGAAAATCTGATTCACAGTTGCAAGGCTGCGTGAAGTCTTCAATGGCTTTTGGGAGGCGGACATACAGTATCCATACAGCAGACCCATTAGATGTCAACAACTCTTTTAACATGCACTTTTAGCGAAATCTGGTTGAAATATTTTTTTCACTATACAGATATTTTAAGAATTTTGTTCAAGCTATGTCTTGAGGGAGCAGACAATTTTGGAATGCCACTGATAAAATTGAGAAAATTTAAGTTTTTCAGAATATCAAATAGTTTGACTTCATTAATTGCTATGCATTACATAGGTGCAAAAACCTATACTTAATACACAAATTAAGTGCAAAAGACTTTAATATACGAATGCTTTTTTCGCATAAAAAATTTTTGAATATGTCCTAATGCCTTAATTGTCTTAATTTGTCCATTGAGCTCTATTCAAAATGGACCCAAACTAGGTCTACCTCTCAGCTGAACACGTGTTGCTAAGTGCTGAAGCCCTTGAAAGAAGAATGTCGAATAGCAGTTGAGGCAGTAAATTTAATCCTATGAAGGTTCACAGGTACTGAAACAACACACAAGAGATATGTAATGATCAAATCATAGCATAATCGAAGTGCAACAAAGTTGAGAACGTCAAGCCAGAGGTAGCAACACAGGAGGTACTACGGCAGAGAATAATTTACCGACTCTTCTGCTGCTTCCCCCCCCTGGTACAATGAATTCAAATTGCCTGTAAGGTCTATACTGTGCCTACAATATTTATTTCAAAAAGAAGAGCCACGAGGAACCCAATAAAAGCCCTTGCAATGTCGACTTCGTAGCTGAATGCCTTTTACTCATGCAATACTATCTTGAGCCAAGCGCACAACCACAATAATACAGTGACGGCGGAAACATTGTGCAGTATTGCTTGGCAAGATTTTCACCGAGCTTTTTTGATTGCTAGTGCTTACCCCTATGTGCATGAGCTGTGCTCAAAATTTTATTTGCGTACTTTATCGTCACACAGTATGATTGACTAACACACACACAAAGCCTGCTGAGTTCCCACAGTTTTCTTATGACTGCTGCACGCATGAAAAAGCAGTCCCATCGACACATGATGGCCGCAGCTTGATAGAAATGAAAAGAAATATCAGTAGGCACATGACAATATAGCTTACTTTACCACAAAAAGAAAGAGCCATAGGTCAAGTGATATCTGGCTATGAGTCTGAATCTTCTTTTTGACAGGTGTCAGAGTTCAGCGTCAATTATATTTTGTTACAGGAATTCAGTGGCATGCCAGCTAGTAATAAATGAACGTGACTTTGAAAAAATTATCATTTATGATTGTAACAAACCAAGAACATGCAGCATTCAGCTGCAAGTTCTTATTGCACAGCTTAGGCTGCTATGATGAGCTCACAAGTTTATAGAGACGTTATTGAATGTAGTACCAGCCTAGTACAGCTTGCAACGTGTCTCAAACGTACAGGCGTAAGCAAAAGTGTGCAGACCACGGGGTTGCGTCAAAGAACGCATCGACGTGCCATCTCTGCACACTGCCTTCTGCAGTGTGCATGCCTGTCCAGTCGTAATCAGGTGGCCTCTCACAGCACTTTGTTTGACTAAGTTAGGGCAATAGCTAAAAGGACAACTGAGTGTTGATTTCTTTGCTTCATCAAAATTATGCCACTCTGTCACGCAGCAGCTTAGGTAGCGCCAATTTAAGTGCCGAGCGCGTAGCGTTTTTTCACCAGTTAGCCTAACTAAGCATAGCTAGCACCATATAACCCACTGTAGCCAAGTATAAAAAATTAAATTTCTTCAGCCCAGCTTGCTCTGTCACATTAAGCCAATTTTAACTTGCCTTGTTTTGCCAAACTGTAGTAAAAACTAATCAAGCATAACATAACCTGTAAAAGCCAAGCATAAGCTGAATAAATTAAGCTAATTTTAATAAGGCATTCTCGTTTGCTGTATTCATGTTGATCCATGTAACTCTTATATGAGCCGAGGGGAGTCAAGTATATCCTAATCTAATTAGGCATAATTGATAGTGATATCACTTCACTTAACCGAGCATAATTAGCCCCAATAAGGCAAACCCAATGGCAGTCGAATAATTCAAGTCGAGTTCCTCATGAGCCAGAGAAGAAAAGCCAAGGAAGAGGCTGACTACTCTTTACTGACTGGATACTAAATAAGCTTATTTAGCTCTCACATCCGTTGACTGTTCACACCCATGGTTCACATGTGTTGAGGAAAAACAGATGAAGCGATGTCTCAACCTTTCGGCCGCTATGCTCCTACAACATATGTTTCAAATCATAGATAAAAATCAGCCTCTCTTACTATATCCCGTCTAGAAAAAAAAAACAAAAGAACTAAACTTGAACTTGCGAAAAACATATTGCTTATGGTTGATTTCAACGAGATGAATATTAAAATAACGAATGCATTCTGAGTGACCGCAACTCAATTAAGTTCGCGCTGCATGGAACTTTCTGCCCGAATGCTACACGCCGTAGCTCGAAAAACCAAGCGTTATCAGCACCAAATAAAAGTAAACCAAAGCAATGCGAGGTTTTTGATAATCTCAAGTGGCGTTACTACTACCCCGTGGTGGCCTTGGCAATAGAACTGCACATTTACGTCACACTCTTTGCATGTATGGCCATTCCTAATTTTCCTTCCCCTCGAGTGACGCTATTAAGAGTACGGGCTTCCAACACACATGCCACATTAACACATGAGAAATAGGTGCCTAGCCAGCATTTTTTCTCGCGGGGCGGGGAGGGGAAAGGTGCCTTTTCTAAAATCGCTGATTTCTGCTCTATATGCCAATGAACAAAAATTTGAGAGAGGGGGGCACGATGTGCCACCTCCTGGCTACGCAACTGTTGAGAAGTGAAACGAAAACACCAGAGCGGTCGGAAAACCACGCGCGCACGCATCGGAAACGTTCACATTTATTTTGTGCCCGGGGAGTGATGCGGCCGCCGCTGCTTTCGCGAAATAATTCGAGTTGACCTGCTTTGTTTGGGGAGATACACGCCAGCAAAAACGGCACGAGCGAATGCACCGGCAGCGGCAGCGCCGAATTCAGCCGGCTGTGCGCAAAAACGAGACACGTTTGGCCATGCTGACTCGCTGCAGCTGCACCATGGCTGCACAGTCTACTTCGGTGTTCTCGGAGATCGTAATGCAAACCAGGATCTCGATGAACGCGTCCTCGTTCAGGCCGTCAAGCTTCGTCGAGCTGCACGAGTAGTTTGCAATTATAGCCGTTACGAACCACCGCCGACGCTTTTACCGCCATGTTGCATCTGCAGCCGGCTCTTCAGATTGCATGGTTTTTAGCTAGTTGGCCGTGGATCGGAAAGAGGGTCCGCTTGTGCGTGACGGGGAAATCGGACCGATTTCTTCGTTCCGGCTTTGCGGCGTAGGTTTCCGGCGGCTTAGGCGGTAAAGCGAGTGAATTCCTGGTGAGTTTAGCCGCTTTCACTCCGGAGAGAACAAATGTCAAACTTGAACCCAGCGCGAGCCTTCTAAGAACTGATTGGGTTGCCATAGCGCACACACATAAGGACAAATAACGCACTCGGAAGTTCATTCGGATTTACTTACCATATGTCCTCAGCTTGAAAATGAGACAACACCGACGACTTCGCCACGGCAACCGCTGGCTGCCTCGATGAACAGAAGGTATAGTTCAGAAGCGACGCACTTTCTTCCCGCGCTCCGAAGTACACAAGATGGCATAGTCCGGACCACTTTCTCCGCCGGGCGAGCGTGTCGTTCTTGATGCGCCGGATCGTAGGTGCGGTTTATGAACTTTTTGAAGAGCGTCGACGCGGCGCGGGCTATTTCAAACTTGCCTACTGAAATAATTTTTGCGATGTTGACGCTGAGGCTTAGAACCATCCTTATCCCTTGTTGTTTCTTGTCTACATAGACATCCTTCTGATCCGCGCCATTCTTTGTTTTTATTTTTAAGTCACTCTCATTTCAGACTGGTTTTTAACTCCCATACTTTCCAATTTTTTATGATCACGGTAAAATAATGGTTTCAGCCCATTTTATCCCCTTTCAAGGGAGTTCATATTTCGGGATGGGTGGAAAAAGCACACATAACCTGCTTAAAACGCCCTTTTGGGCTTATTTTTGTTTACAGTGTACGGAACATTCACGCGACCCCCCCTCTCCTCAGCAACGCCGTTGCTCGAGTTCCCCTCGTCAGAAGATGCGGGCGGCATTTTTCTAATGAACTGCGAACATGCAACCAGTCACTATTAGGTAAAATGCTGAAACTTAACCTCCTATTTTAATTTGTCAAAATATCAGTGACGTCAAGTAACTATTGTTCTTGCCATTAACATGTTATCTCATAGGACAGCCTCCACAAGTGAGCCATGAAATGCCGAGTTTTTGGTAACTTACCCCGTCGATTATGGATGAGTTGCCAATAGCCGCGACTCCCCCTGAAATGTAGCACACCGCGGCCACCAGATGGAAAAGGGTGTACTGGAAGGTAATATATAAGGTACGTTTACGCTGAAGCAAGTCAATAAAAACATTCACTGATGAGCAACTATGAAAAGTTGTAGCAGGAAAGCACTAAATATAATAATCTAAACTGCACTTTTGCTCATTCATCAATCCTTGACTAATTCGGGACACTGAATAGACGAGATGAAATGATTGATTGATATGTGGGGTTTAACGTCCTAAAACCACCATATTATTATGAGAGACGCCGTAGTGGAGGGATCCGAAAATTTTCACCATCTGGGGTTCTTTAACGTGCACCCAAATCTGAGCACACGGGCCTACAACATTCCCACCTCCATCGGAAATGCAGCCTCCGCTGGCAGGATTCGATCCCGCGACCTGCGGGTGAGCAGCTGAGTACCTTAGCCACTAGACCACCGCGGAGGGGGGGGCGACAAGATGAAATAGCCTTCTGCAAGCGTATGAACAATTTTACAGCGCGGTGCGAAAAATTCGCTACATTAGCGTTCCTTTATCAATGACGTTTTCAGTAGGAACGAGAAGAATTATTGACATGGTCACGGATGTTAGTAATGGTTCATTGCGAGAACATGAAGTTCTATAGACATCGTTCGTGTGACGAGTAATGGCGTACAAGACATAAAAGTGAAGGGGCCGAGCGGCTCTTTCGAAAGTGCGTATTTTCGTTCTTTGGTGTGCCACGCAGATTTTTCAACCACGAGATCGCAGTTCAGATTTTTCCTCGTGGGTGCACTTGCGAGGTCGTACGTTCTTTGCAGCGCTCACGCGGCACTGCTTAGTCGAACTTCTTTGAGCGAACGTTCTTGTCCAAAACATGTTCGCCGTCATCATTCTCTTTGAGGGCACCAAATTGGAACAGCTGCACAAAGTATAGCCGTTCAGAAAAAAAAAAAAAGACTGGAGGCTGCTATGTTGGTTGTTTTCGACATGAGATGTTCCAGTTATGTAGGTGTATCTGGATCGCTTAGCTTTCAACCACTTCGGGATTTGACCTTCTATTTTCCCCGAAACTAACTATTTTGGTAGGCGTTAAAATTGATGGTTGACCCCTGTTAAAGAACATTTTTTCGCTTTAATTCGTTTCCTCTCGCTACTCTTTGTGGTAACAACCTGACGCGCCTCACGTTGCCGCCTAATTTTGCCCACTTTAGGCTAATAGTATCGATACCTGACGACATCATTCTGTTCTTTCCTTTCGCCTACTTTCACTGCTCTGCAGCTCAGAGGAAGCGAGGTGAATCGCGCGTCTCCGGACTTTCGAATCACAAGACCGTTCAAAGGCTCGCCACGGTAAGCAACATTGTCGTCTAGAAAAGCAAACAAGATATGGTGTGGCATTGCATTTTTTATCCGCAAGAGTGGCCAGTACCTAAAGTTCCTGGCCCGCAACACAGGTCCCTTCGTCGTTTTCTCGCGCCTTAGCGATATTATGTACGTTTCAGCACGGGTAACATTACTGGCCGTCGCTCCGCAAGTATTAACGTCTTGCATGTTGTCCGCCTGATGTGACATCGTGCGCGACACACTAGTGTGCACATCGCCTGCAACTGGGGAACTGATACAGAACTTTCAGCAAGTGTAAAAGAGAAAACGGGCGTCGTGGTGGATTCGAGGCCTACCTTTCCGTGACCATCTGTCACCCACCCTGTAAAATGAACAGCTCTTGCAGTAACAATACAGATCCGGTTCCTTTGAACAAAGCTCTTCGAGGACACTTGACGTTCACCTTCAAAAGCGGAACGTGGTAGCGGCACCAGTCAACGTTCGCATCGTCTTCTCAATCGCTTGCCAAGCTTCCCTTCTCAGTGAAACCCTCCCCGCGACAACACGAACGTTTGTGGACGTAATATTGGCCACTTGAGAATCTTCCAAAATGAATGCCTGCTGCAGATGCAGTTTTGATGTGCTCCCTAAGCCATTATTCATCAAATTTTGAATCACCAAAGGGTTCATTACGCAACCGTAGGGCACTACAGGCAGCTGCGCTCTTTGTTTAATAATAATAATAATAATAATAATAATAATAATAATAATAATAATAATAATAATAACATTAATAATAATAATTATAATTATAATATTAATATTAATAATAATATAATAATAATAATATAATAATAATAATAATAATAATAATAATAATAATATAATAATAATAATAATAATAATAATAATAATAATAATAATAATAATAATAATAATAATAATAATAATAATAATAATAATATAATAATAATATAATATAATATAATAATAATGATAATAATATTAATAATAATAATAATAACTTTAAGCAAGACGTACCTCATGAATCATCCTGTTTTACGCTGCATCATTCATTCTATACTAATTAAGTGTTTAAATGAGCTCTATCCTTTTTCCTACAACGGTGCCTACCACACTTTTTCAGCATATTTAGAAAACGCTGCCGATCGGTAGGTGAGGCTTCTGAGAATTGACGCTCAACGCAACACCAAACTGGGATAGTTGGTGACAAATCATTGTGATAGTAGCATGACAAAAATGGACAGATTGGAAGCCGCACAACACCTGCTCTGTGTGGTCCTCCTCTCTTCTGTCTACGTTTGTCGCGCTACGGCCTCGTTGCTTCTGACAGCATGCGAGCAAATCACTGTATAGCAGCACGAGGCCTGGAATATACGTCTAACTTTCGAAGAATGCTAGAAATCATTCTTGTTTTTTTGAAAATTATGCTATATACTCCAATGATAAGGCCATACACACAAGTTTTGCGTAATTAGCTGATTCCAGCATCGTGAGCCACATAGTCACGGTGACCGCTGCGGTAGACCACCATAAGCCCACGCTAGCGATTTCATTGAAAGTAAGCCGCATTCGATGAAAAAAAAAAAGGCAGATCCCACGTATAGTGGTATTTGAGCATATGTGAAGCACGAATGAAGAAGGTTGATATGTCCCTCTGAAATCAGCATAACTTTACGAGGTGGGTGTAAATTACGCATTGATAACTTCTATGCCATGATTATCAAGTTTGCACCTGACATTTGTGTTCACCGTTCATTTACTTCAGGTAACACCAAATTTGGTATTGTGAAGCTAGCAAAACAACCCCGAGCACAATATGAGCTTAGCATGCAGTCATGCTTTACATGACACGCACGTTACGATTATAATGTTTGAACGTGTCATTTACGCTCGTAATCGGATCGTCACGTAATACCAAATTTGCTATATTTGAAGCAAAAGAAACGGTCGCGAGTACATCATGAGCGTGGTATGTAGACATTTCCTAACATTACACTAATGGCATGATTATCATGTTTGCACCAATAATATATCTCCGTCCTCCATTCACCTCACGCAGCACTAAATTTGGTATATGTGAAGCTAACGAAACGGCTATATACGACCGCACCATGAGCGTAGCATGTAGTCATGTTTTACGCGACATGCATACCATAACTATGTTTGGCCGTGTCGTTTACCTTCGTCATCCACACAAAATTATGTATATGTGAAGCTAGAAAAACGGCCGCGAGTGCACCACGCGCGTATAGCATGTCATGTTTTACGTGACATGAATGTCGCGGTCATCATTTTTGGACGTGTCATTTACCTTCGTGGTCTATTCTTGTCACGTAATGCGGCATATGTGAAGATAGTGAAAACGCCTCGTGTGTACTATGAACATAGCATGTAGTCATGTTTTACATGACACGCATATTATGATTATCATGTTTGCACGTGTCAATTACTTTTGTCATCCATTCGCGCCACGTAACAACAAAGTTGGTATATGTGAAGCTAGCGAAATGGCCGCGAGCGCACTATGAGCATAGCTTGTAGTCATGATTCGCATGACACGAATGTCACGATTATGGTGTTTGCACCAGTCATATGCCTTCGTCATTCATTCACGTCTCGTAATACCAAATTTAATATATCTGAAGCTAGCGAAAAGACCACGAGCATGCCTCTGGCGTAGAGTGTAGTATGGACTCACATGACATGCATGTCATGATTTTCACGTTAGGCATGTCACTTATATGCGCCATGCAGTCATGTCATGCCATGACTGTTTTGCAATATGTCATGTGTACCAAACCACCGCAGGAATAGCTAGACCATCACATGTCAGTCATAACATTCACGATATACATGCCATGACTTTCATGTTATCACTAGTCACCTATGCTCGCCATGCAGTCTTTTTATGCCATAGTAATTTTGTTATGAATACCATTATTTAAACGGCCAGGAGAGCTAAAAGTCGTAGGCGCCTAGATAGATAGATAGATCGATGGATAGATAGACAGATAGATAGATAGAAAGATAGATAGATAGATAGATAGATAGATAGATACGGTGAGTAGGTGGCTAGATAGATAGATAGATAGATAGATAGATAGATAGATAGATAGATAGATAGATAGATAGATAGATAGATAAATAGATAGATAGATAGATAGATAGATAGATAGATAGATAGATAGATAGATAGATAGATAGATAGATAGATAGATAGATAGATAGATACGGGCAAAGTCGCCACAATTCACTAAGAAACGCTTCGCACATCTACAGTGGCAATCGCTCAATTGCGAAGCAAAAATGAGGAAGGTTGATATGTAACATTAAAATCAGCAACACGTTACGAGGCGGAAAAATTATGCCGTATATTCCTTCGATGTCATAATTTTCTTGTTTGCGCCTGTCATTCGTGTTCGCCATCTATTCCGTCACGGTATACAAAATATGGTATGTCTGAATCTAGCGAAACAGCCGCAAGCACACCATGAGCGTAGCATGTAGTCTTGTTTTTCATGACACGCATGTCATGATTATCACGTTTTGACGTTTTCTTTACCTTCGTCATCTGTTCACGTCAGGTAATAACAAATTAGGTATATGTGAATCTAGGCAAACGGCCGCGAGCTAATCATCAGCGTGGTGTCTAGACATGTTTTTACACGACACGCATGTCATCATGGTAATATTCGCACCAGTCA